TAGCCCAAAAGTATGGTAAATCCATGAGCTTTTTGGCTTTGGATTAATATCAGGAATAGTTTGTGCTATATGCGGTAGGTATAAAAGTGCTGCTTAAAAGTGTGTCTATGGAGTTCCTGTACTAAAACTTGCAGTAAGTTCAGAAAAGATAAAATACATCAGTTCTGGATGAACTACATCTATGGCTACCTGTGAAGCAAATTGCTATAGGTATGTCTACTTTAAGGCCAGTGTTTTCAAATTTGTCACTTACTTCCATGTGCTCAGGGAGGGCAGGTTTGGACAGTAAAAGGGAGGGGAGGGGCTGCAGAGAGAACAAGTTGTGGGGGCAGAATGCAAGGGGGCCCCAGATTTTAGGGATGTACCAATAGAGATTTTTGCAGCCAATACCGATAGCTGCGTTTTAAGGCGGCATATCGGCCGATACCAATCTGATTTCCAATACCAGCCCAGAAGCTTGAAGAGCTGCATGCAGCTAGTTAGTCTGGTGTGGTGGAAGGGGAGGGAAGGGGCATGGGAGGGGCAGATAAAGAAAGGTCCCCGCGGTGAGGGAGAAGTGGGGCAGGGGCTGGAGCAAGTGCTGCCCAGCCAGGGTGGGGTGGGCATGGGATGGAGCTGTGGCTTGTCAGGAGGATATGGGGGGGGTGCGGATCCTGCTGCTGTGAGCTGCTGTTTTGGGACCTGCTGGTTCGGCACTTACCCGCTCATTCAGCGGCTCCCGCCGGGAGAGGATGGGGGGGGCAGGGCGAGGGTGCCCCCAGATCTGCACAGGGTAGGCTCTTTCTTGACCACCCATGCTGCCCTGCACAGATCTGGGGGCACATGCCTCCCACAAGCCCTCCTGGACAAGCGGTGGCAGCAGGCAAGCACCGGATGAGTAGGCAAGCGCCAGACCAGTGGCTTCCAGACGAGCAGCAAGAAGTGGCAGGAGCTGCCCCCCCACTTCCTCCCTCTGCCCCCTGGATGAGCCACAGCCCTGTCCCACACCTGACCTGCCCTGGCTGGGCAGCATTTGCCCCAGCCCAGCCCCACTCCTCCCTCACTGCGCGGTCCTTGATCTGCCCTCCCACTTTTACATCAATTGCCAATTGCTCAAATCACGAGCAAGACCTTATGAGGGAGGATAAGTCAAGATGCCTTGTTTATTGATTAAGCACTTAACACACACACACATGCGCGCACACACACATTCATACTCCAATTTCTGTTCTGTGCTTGTATACATTACCAGTCTTATCAGCAAGGATCCTGGTTTTATCTGATTAAAAAATCACAAATTCTCTGACAAAACCCCCCAAATCTGTTATTAAAATTTAAAACCCCCCTCCAG